AGGGGGAGGGAGAGAGACAGAGAGAGAGAGAAAGGGAGGGAGAGAGAGAGGGAGGGAGAGAAGAAGGGAGGGAGGGAGGGAGGGAGGACCGACGGAAGGAAGGAGCAGAAGGGAAAGAGAGGGGCACACAGAGGGCCCACCGCATTTTAGGCTGGGACGCCGTCACAGGATGGTGACATAATTAAGGACAGAATCCTTACAAGCACTTTATTGGCTCTGTCTAGCTGAGATTGCATAAGTCAAGATATAATGAAGATGAGAAAGAAGGGAATTAGCAGGGCATGTGGGTTGGCACACTGCTTCTGTTTCTCCCACACCATAGGAAGAGGGTGTTATCTTTCGGGGGCTTTGGTAGTTCTGTGTGCCCAGCCCCCCCACCCCACACACAGGGGCTCCCTCTCACCCTGATTAGACACAGACCACACCCAAATACCTGTTTTCACAGAGAGAGATCCTTTACTAAGCAGGAAGAAAAGTTAAAGCGGCTGCTTTCTGACTCAGGCAGAAAACAGCAGCAAGTGACCTTGCAGATGTCATTTCTAAGAGAAAGAAAAGGGGAGGCCTGTGTTAAAGTGGGTTAGCACTTGGTGGTATATTTTGATTGGGCATGTTAAATAGATGAACCAGAGAGGGCTTTTGATTTCTGGACTTGAATACTTTGATAGCTGGACCTTGGTAGTCAGCCTTGGGAGGAGGAAGTGGCCAAATACGAGTAGACCTTGGTGCTAGCTTTAGGAATGTGATGTAATGGTTTTTAGCAAGGCAGAGGGAGTGGGGGAGGGGCAAGGCCTGCCGGATCCACATGCTCGAGTGGGCAGTGTCCCTTCAGTACATACCTGTCTACTCATCCCAGATAGAAAGCCCACAACAGACCAGCATGGATATCGCCTGTCTTAGTTAGGGTTTCTATCGTTGTGAAGAGACACCATGACCATGGAAACTCTTAAGAGGGAAATATTTAATGGAGGTGGCAGCTGACAGTTTCAGAGGTTTAGTCCATTATCATCATGGCAGAGAGCATGGTGGCAGGAAGTGTGGCGGCGTGCAGGCAGATGGGGTGCTGGAGAATTGTGACAGTTGGAATGTAACTGGCCCCCATAAGCTCACAGGGAGTGGCACTATTAGGAGGTGTGGATTGGTTGGAGTGGGTGTGGCCTTGTTGGAGGAAGTGTGTCACTGTGGGGGCGGGCTTTGAGGTTTCCTATGCTTGGAATACTGCCCAGTGTCTCAGTTGACTTCCCATTGCCTGCAAGACGTCGGACTCTCAGCTACTGGACCGCTCACAATGCCTGCAAGACGTCAGACTCTCAGCTACTTCTCCAGGACCGTGTCTGCCTGCATGCTGCCGCCATGCTCCTTGCTATGATGATAATGGACTGGACCTCTGAAACTGCAAGCTAGCTGAAGGGACCAGGGCCAGTTGTTTTTTCCAGGGGCCAGTTTGCTAAGACCTTGAGAGGACCAAGCAGACGCCATAACAGGCTGCTCAGTTTTCTCTCAGAAATCAGGCCTCAAGTTCAGTTTCCTGAGACTGAGCAAGCAGCTTCTGAGAGGGCCATGAACAAAAGACAATCACTGATGCCCCTGTCAGCAGGGACAGGGGGATAGGACACACCAAGCCTGGGCTACTAAGGCAGCCCCCACAGTCAGTATGTGCTAGGCCTGCCAGCCTCCACAGCAGTTCAAGGACAAAGCCTGGGACTTGTCCAGGCCTGTCTAAAAAAAGATAACTGTAACCCCCAACTAACCGTAGCCAATTAAAAATTACTAATATGATTGCTACTCACATAAACCAATCCTGAGTCTGTTCCTATGTGGTCTGTACCCCAAGACCCCCCTTGCTTTACCCCCTATAAAAACCCTGCTCCATTGCCACTTGGGGGTCTCTCCTGCTCTGCTGTTGCGGCAGACAGACAGACAGACAGACAGAGAGTCACGAGTTAACTCACAATAAAAAGACTCTTTGCTTTTGCATCAGATTTGGTGTCTTGGTGGTCTTTGGGGGTCCGGACTCGGGGCATAACAATCTCTGCCCCATATTACCTCACCCTCCGATGTTGACTCAGGTCTGGCTTCAATGAGACCCTCAGGAAGTACGTCCAGTCTGGTAGCCAATCAGGGTCCTACCCGGCCACAAGCAGGAACTTTTCTTGCTATTTTCAGTCAGACAGACCCCTGACACAGCAGACAGACCGCTCACCTTGCAACCAGAGTTGCTGACCAGATGTCATGAGCCCATCATAAAATGATTGCTGTATCAATTTCAAGTACACTGAACCACATCTGGAATTCCCCTAAGCAGGCTTAAAAGGGGCTGCTTTACCCTCTCCTGGGGTCAAAGCCGTTTTGGGGGGTCCCAAGCATGCTGGTTTTTCTTGAGAATAAATCTGCTTTCTGCAATTGCATATTGGGTATCTTCTGGTCATTTGGAGTGATCTAAGGACCCTACACTAGCCCCAATCAAATGTTTCCTTTATAAGAGTTGCTGTGGTCATCGTGTATCTTCACAGCAATAAAATCCTTAATGAAGACAAGAATTCTACATCTTGATCCAAAGGCAACAGAAAGTGAACTGAGACACTGGGGTGTGGCTTGAGCACATATGAGACCTCAAAGCCCACCTCCACAGTGACACACTTCCTCCAACAAGGCCACGCCCACTCCAGTAAAGCCACACCTCCTAATAGCGCCACTCTCTGTTTGCCATTTTCTTTCAAACCACCACACCATCAAAGCCCAGTTTACTAAACCAAGGAGTTTTATTGGGATTACTTACAGGAACAAAAATGACTCACAGACAGCTGCATCACCAAAGCCACCCCAGCACCAATGACAGCTCACAAAAGCTGGGAACCTGGAGCCCACTGCACAGCCTGCAGGCAGCTCAGCAGGTTGGAGAATGTTCTTTCCAAGTGACTTAGTTGGGCAGCTCAGCTGGATTCTGCTTCTTCTAGGCAGCTGGTCTTGTCTAAGAGTTTTCTTTGCAGCTTGGCTTGACTGAGAATGTCTCTTAACAGCTTAGCTTGTTTACTTTGGGAGGGAGGGACCTAGTGAATCTGGTCGGTTTCAGGGACTTCCTGAAACCATTTTGAGTTGTTTACCTTCCTGCTTAAGGAGCTTCCCTACAGACTGGGATGTTTCTCCCAGCCTCTCTAACACTCCTTAACACCCAGTCACTCCCTTCTTTCCTGGACATTCTGCAGTGTCCTTAGACCCATGTAGGGCTACTCTGACCACTCCAGAAACCCCCTCCCCACTTCCTCCACCACTGGTTCCAGCTGTGCCTCTCCAATAGCCCCTCCCTCATTCCTTACTCCAAAAAGCCCCCTCCTTTCAGCCCAGTGCTACCCCCCCC